CGATGAACCGGACACGTTTTTAATATGTCCAAGTTCTCTGGCGTCAAATGCAGCCTCTTTGCTTGGAGGGCTCGAGAGGTGTACCAAGGTAATTATTCACAAACTAGATTCAGAATACAATAGCGGTAAGAACTGAAAAAGATCTCACCTCCGACTAAATATTTGTTCGCAGTCCGATTCCGGTTTTCCCTCGTTGAATTCGCTCAATTCGGTGGGGCAAGATTGTATTAGCTGTAGGCACGGTGAATTAAACACCTGATTGGTTAATTGCGGATGGATGGTATGTACGCGAGGTTACAACTCGTGATAGGTTCAAAATTGTCAATACAACTGGGGAATGCATTGGCAGAACGCGAGGATCGCAGGAAATTGCAAACTTTTTCCAAGTGAAATAAAGAAGATATCGGGGCCAAGCGGTGGGGAGAAAATCTGGCCGACAGACCGAGTCCGTGGATTCACAAGGCCGGAAGCACTTGGATAACTGGACAAACCTCAGCCCATCTGCTGCACCCTTCATCGATCCGAATCCGTTTCTCCTCCAATCGAATTCTTCGGTGAGGTCGGCAGAACTGTCAGTTGTCGAAGTCTAGCTCTGGATTGTCGTCTTCGTCGTCTTGGTCATAATACTCATCCACTTCGATCGCTTCGAGGGCCGGAATGGAGGGAAATATTTTACGATACTCTTCCGACGCCGACACATCATGGGGACCGATGATGTACAGTTCTTCCAGTTTGCACCCCGATCTCGCTATGAATGCCTCAAAGGCACCAGCAAAACCCGGTATAACTTGAAGGAAATTATTCGGGACGTGAAGTTTGCGTAGGGCAGGGAGGGTCAACGAGTCGATGAGGCCCCTGAATCGGTAGCTGGCGTCAATAACGTCCTCTATTATCAAAGTTTCAAGGTATGCAAGATGTCGCTGCGCCCATTCAATCTTGGAACCGCGAAACTGGAGCTTGCAATAAATGAGGTTCGGCGCATGCTCCAAGATTCGGGAACACATATCCGGATCTGCATTTTGTGCCACGAGCCGCGTAAGCCGAGACCACGGCAAGGTGATTTCGGGAGGGAGGGAGGACAGCAGAGTGATTGTCTGCAGCTGAGCCGCGTGCTGGAAAAGGACAACCGGACCGACATTTGTATGGGTCACGAAAGGGGTCACCCCAATTTGCAGATGGCGAAGCAAAGGCATGTTGCCTTGAATCGGCGAAAAAACATCCAGATCCGCGACAAGTAGGCTGAGATACTCCCAGCGATTGCAGTGAGGGAGGATCGCCTGGATGAAGGGTGCCATCTCCGAGTCGGATGCCTCAGCATACCAGTTATCCGCGAGACTGATCGAAAGTGGGCAATATCGGGAGCGCGAGAGCCACATTTCGAGCAGGGGCAATTTCGATATGTGGGGATACATTGGTATTCTGATGGATATCGCCCTCCAAAGGGTGGGAGTAGACAGAGCTATGTCTCGCCACTTGCGACATACGCTGCTCAGTAAGGTCGGCGTAACTGCAGGAGGACAGCGGGGGTATACAGGAAGGACACGAGTGAAGATCTCGGACACGATTTCGTTGGGCAGGGTGAATACGGGGTACTTGTAGGCATCGAGACGAGCCTTCACCCGTTCCCGCTGTGTGTGCACCGTGCGAAGGAGGAGTTGTAACGCATCGATTTCAGCGTCCAGTTCAGCGAGGCGAGCACGGTCTGCTGCTCGGGCGGATGAGGAAGTCTCGTGTGCAGCGTCTAGTGAAGCCATTCTGGTTGATAGTGATAGACACGTGGTTTTGAACTCCGACGGTCCGCCATCAATTCTTGAACTCTCTCTCTCTCTCACCCTCCATCATCGATTCTGTTTCACGAACACTGATTCTGCCATCCTCTGCCTCTATTGATTGAAGGTCTGAACTGATATCCCGATTGTCTTCAAGAGTTGCACGAGAAATTTCCCAACGGCCTGTGTTTCAGCGTCTAGTCCTCGAACTCGTGCGTATGCAGCATCGGAAAACACACTCGGCGCGTTCAGTGTGACCATCCCTTCGCGAATACTCGCTATCAAGACACCCGCGCCACTGCCGTAGCTGTCAATTGATGTCTCGTACGCATAAGTTGCACGATTCCCCGGAAGTTATTCACATCTATTGGACGCAGCGAATCACCCGTGTCCCGTATTTGCTAACAAGTGTTGAAACGTATGGACGGGCGTTGTCGGTTCGAGCCCAGCCCAGGGGCTTCGCAACAAGACTTGAACTGTTTATATCGAATCTCTCCCACTCAGGTTGCACTCAGTCCACTCTGAATCGAATGAAGTTGAATTTGGTGTAGTTCAAACAGGTACGTGGGGTTTGGTTAAATTTTGAAGTCACTTCTCATCTCAGACTTTCCGCGCGGGATATTCGAGTGAAATTGAATTTGATGTAGTTCAAACAGGTACGTGGGGCTTGGTTAAATTTTGAAGTTGCTTGTTCTCATCTCAGACTTTCCGCGCGGAGTGACCATGTAGTACAACTCACCTCAATTGCAAGGCTATGTGCAGACCTGGTGATGACACCCGTATTTCGTTGACTTCGATGAGTCCCATTCGGCGGGAGTCTTCGGTTCGAATCCGACCCAGGTTTGGCATTTTTTATTGATTTTTCACTCTCACCCTCACTCGAACGAACCAGTTAACATGTAATTTGAACTATTATGTGGTTCACAAAAAGGCAAGAATCCAATACTCAATCGTTCCCGTCTGAGATTCCTTTTGGCGTGGGATGCTGAAGTCAAGCTACAGTGTGGACAGTAGTACAACTCCAGCTGGATTGCAGCGCTGCAGACCTGGTGGTGAAAGGCATCATACCCGTGTCCCGTGTGTGCTAACGAAGAGCGTTCAAACATATGGACGGGCGTTGCCGGTTCGAGTCCAGCCCAGGTTGTGTCAGTTCAATGGGGTATATACCTTTTTTTCTTTGAATCTTCGAATTCTCCCTCAGTTGAAGGAGTTGACGAGATGGAGGTTGAATTATTACAGGTGCGGTTCGAAAAGAGTTGAAGGTACGGTGAGCTTGATTGAATTGCTCTCGTCTGGCGGAACGTGGAGCTCGAATCCAGCACTACAAGTTCTCCAGCTCGATTACAAGCAAGGAGACCTGGTGTGTACCCGTATCTAATTCTTGATCATTGAGAGCGCATCAGCGGGAGTCTTCGGTTCGAATCCGGCCCAGGTCGTGATCGGCGGAAACAGTATCCTTTTTCCAACATCTCCGGTTCGAGTCCGCCCCAGGTCGTGGATTTGGCAACCACCCTTGTACTGTTTTTATTGTATTTTTTATCCATTCAGACCACTCTCACTCGAGCGAACGAGCGGGGTTCGAGGTTGAACAGGCCTCATGTGTCAAAAAAGGCTAAGAACTCAACCGTTCTGTATTGAAGTCCATACTTACGACTTTCTGCACTGCCCCCCGTAAGAACGAGTTCTTTGGCTGCTCAATCACAACTTGAGTGTGCAGACCTGGTGGTGAAAGGCATCATACCCGTGTTTGCTAGGAAGAGCGTTCAAACGTACGGACGGGTGTTGCCGGTTCGAGTCCGGCCCAGGTCGTGTTAGCGCGAGGCCCTTGCTTTTTTCCATGGAATCTTCCTTCTCAGTTGAAGAAGTTGAGATAGAGGTTGAATTTGTTATGTAGACTGCATCAGCGGGAGTTGTTGGTTCGAATCCGGCCCAGATAGTAGGTCCACAAGATCACAATGTTTTTGTCAACATCTCTCCTGAACTCGCGACCTGGACTCAGGGCGACGGCAGAAACAAAATCGTGGTAGGAGTGGTTCAGTCGTCGGTTCAGGGGTTTCACAACGAGATTTAATTGAGTTTTCGCTCCCACTCCTCACTCGAACGAACGAGAGTGGGGATGTGGGTTGAAAAGAACGTGAAGGTAAGGTGAGATTGGTTTAATCGCTTGTGGGATGGAGTATTGAGCAGTACAACCGGAGCTCGATTACAAGGCCAAGCAGACCTGGTGGTGAAAGGCATCATACCCGTGTCCAATTCTTGATATTTGGATGAGGTATTATCAGCGGAAGTTGTTGGTTCGAATCCGGCCCAGGTCGTGTGGGGTAAGGGTTAGAATCTTTTTGCCAACATTTCCGGTTCGAGTCCGGCTCAGGTCGTGGTCTTTGTGATGATCCTTGCACAGTTTTTATTGAAATTTCACTTTACTCGGAACGAGTAGGATGGGGGTTGAATTTGATGTGGTTCAAACAGGTACACCGTGTGGTTTAGTTAAATTTTGAAGCCAATTGTTCTCATCTCAGAATTTCCGCATGAGTTTCGGAAGATGCAGTACAGAGTCAGCTCAATTGCAAGTCTGGATGAGACCTGGTGGTGGAAGGCATCACACTCGTTTTTCATCTGATGCAACTTGAGTGATTCAATGGGAGTCGTCGGTTCGAGTCCGGCCCAGGCTGTGGTCTTTGCGATTCGCGTTGCCCTGTTTTTGATGAATTTCTCTCCCACTCAATCCACTCTTTACCGAAAGAACGAGTGGGACGGAGGTTGAATTTTTATGCGTGTGGTTCAAAAATGATCTTCAACAATGCGTGAGATATACCCGCGCGGGTTGTTCAAGTTAAATCAAGATGAGGATTGAGCAGTGCAACTCCAGCTCAGTCAAGGCTGAGCAGACCTGGTGGTGGACAGCATCATACCCGTGTCCAATTCTTGACCCTGGACGATATATCAGCGAGAGTCGTCGGTTCGAATCCGGCCCAGGTCATAATCAGCGAAAACAGTATCCTTTTTCCAACATCTCCGGTTCGAGTCCGGCCCAGGTCGTGGCTTTGCTAACCGCCCTGGCACTGTTTTTGATCCATTCAGACCACTCTCACTCGAGCGAACGAGCGGGGTTCGAGGTTGAACAAGGGTAAGAACTCAACCGTTCTGTATTGAAGTCCATACTTACGACTTTCTGCACAGCCCCCCGTAAGAACGAGTTCTTTGGCTGCTCAATCACAACTTGAGTGTGCAGACCTGGTGGTGAAAGGCATCGTACCCGTGTTTGCTAGGAAGAGCGTTCAAACGTATGAACGGGCCGTTGCTGGTTCGAATCCGGCCCAGGTTGTATGTGCTCGATATATGGCATTTTTTTTATCAAATCTTTGGAATTCTCCTTCAGTAGAGGGGGTTGAGATGAAGGTTGAATTTCATGTGGGCTGAAAAGAACTTGAAGTCAAGCTGGCTTGAATTTAATCGCTCTCGTATGGCGGAATGCCAAGTTCCAGTTCGAACCAACCCCAGCTCGATTACAAGGCTAAGGAGACCTGGTGGTGGAAGGCATCATATCATACCTGCATGTAATTCTTAATGAGTGCATCAGCGGGAGTCGTCGGTTCGAATCTGGCCCAGGTCATAGGTCCACAAGATCATAATGTTTTTGTCAACATCTCTCCTGAACTCGCGACCTGGACTCAGGGCGACGGCAGAAACAAAATCGTGGTAGGAGTGGTTCAGTCGGTTCAGGGGTTTCACAATGAGTCTTGATTGAGTTAATTGAGTTTTCGCTCCCACTCCTCACTCGAACGGACGAGAGTGGGGATGGAGGAGAACTTGATGTGGGCTGAAAAGAACGTGAAGGTAAGGTGAGATTGGTTTAATCGCTCTCGTGTCGCTTTCGGCGTGGGACGGAGTATTGAACAGTACAACCCCAGCCCAGTTACAAGGCCGAGCAGATCTGGTGGTGGAAGGCATCATACCCGTGTCTAATTCCTGATATTGGATGAGGTATTATATATTATCAGTGGGAGTCGTTGGTTCGAATCCGGCCCAGGTCGTGGTCGATGAAATTTGGATATTTTTTTCAACATCTCCGGTTCGAGTCCGGCTAGGTCGTGGCTTTGATAACCGCACTGGCACTGTTTTTATTGTGTTTTTGATCCATTCAGTCCGCTCTGAATCGAACGAACGAGTGGGGGCGGAGGTTGAATTATTATACGTGTGGTTCAGATACCACCCAAAGTATCTTTGATTTTACTCCCACTCCCACTCCCACTTGAACGAACGAGTGGGATGGAGGTTGAATTACTACTATACGTGTGGTTCAACAAAGGATAAGAATTCAATCATTCTGTATTGAAGTCCATACTTACGACTTTGTGCACGGCTCATAGCGACGAGTTTGTTGACTGCTCAATCATAACTTGAGTGTGCAGACCCGGTGGTGAAAGGCATCGTACCCGTGTTTGCTAGGAAGAGCATTCAAACGTACGGACGGGAGTTGCGGGTTCGAGTCCGGCCCATGGGCTTCATGATAAATCTTGGACTGTTTTTACTGAATTTTCGCTCCCACTCCTCACTCGAACGACAGTAGGGATGGAGGATGAGTTTTATGTGTGTGGTTCAAAAATTGAGGTCTACATACGATCACCCGCGAGGCAAATCAAATCAATGAGTAGTACAACCCCAGCTTGATTACAGGATCGAGCAGATCTGGTGGTGAAAGGCATCATACCCGTGTCCAATTCTTGATTTGAGAACACATCAGCGGGAGTCGTCGGTTCGAGTATGACCCAGGTCGTGAGTCAGTACGAATGGAATCTTTTTGCGAATGTCTCATGATTAGTCTTCTGAGCTCGCGACAAGAATGGGCGACTGCAAAATCAATCAGCAGAGTCGAAATCATGGTAGAGGTGATTTAGCAAGTCTTATACTTGTGGTTCAAACATGTCATTCAACGACGTCTGAGGTACACGTAATTATCGCGCGCCAAATCGAATCAACGAGTAGTAACCCCCGTTCGAATATAAAGCCATGCAGACCTGGTGATGGAAGGCATCATACCCGTGTCCGATTCTTGATATCGGAGGATGCATCAGCGGGAGTCGGTTCGAATCCGACCCAGGCCGTTATTCCGTGCGAATGAAATATTTTGCCAACACCTGTTGGTTATTCTTCTGAGCTCGCGACTGCATAATCAATCAGCAGAGTCGAAATCGTGGTTCAAGTCTTATTATATGTGTGGTTCAAGAATGTCATTTAACAGCGTCGCGTCTGAGGTACACATACGATTATCGCGCGGCAAATCAAACCAGTGAGTAGTACAACCTCAGCTCGTTTGCAAGACTGTGCAGACCTGGTAGTGGATGGCAACATACCCCTGTCCAATTCTTGACTGCAGAAGTCGGCGGGGAGTCGCCGGTTCGAATCCGGCCCAGGTCTTACGGCGCTCGTATTCAATTAACTTTTTTTACCATCTTTTTCCTCTCATTTAGAACTCGCGACATGGGCGACGGCAGAGCCTATTTGTACCTACAGACATGTTCGGACGCGAACGGGGTAGATAGACCACCGCAACTCGGCGTGGAATGGACCTGTACAACGAACGGCGGGGCAGATAGACGCAGGATGTTGTAGGGAGAGGCCGACTGGAAATCGGACACGCCGGACTCGAGTCTCGGGGACATGTCGCAGAAACCGTCATTCCGGATCGTGCGGAAAGGATAGTTCCGATGAGGTTGTGGTTCGAAAACGGAGAAGAACGACGCGAGTGGTGCGGAGATGAATTTGGGCTCCATCGATAGGCTCCCGGGGCATGTCGGATGGGCAACGAGGTTGGCGCTCCGCCTAAGCCCCGGCCCAGAGCAGGCGATTGTGGGTTGCGGGGGGCGGACAGAAGCGGGGGCCGTGGATGGGCATAGTCACTAGTAACGTTAAACGCCGCGAAAGGAAGGCCGTCAACGGACGGAAGAACCCGGAGAAACGTTACATCACCGTGACGCGTGTGATTTTATCTCGGCGGCATAAACCGGGATGCCAACACTCTGACTTTTACTCCTCGATGTAGCGGACGCGGTTCTACAACGCTCTCCCTCGCGTCGCCGGCGGGCGGGTCCGTTCAAACTCGGCCTCCCGTTCACTTTATACATCGTCAACGCCGACCTCCTTCTTCGACGCCCCGCCGCCTCCGCCCAACACCCGGAACGGCCCGATGCTCACAACGAACCGCCTGCCCAACGCCAACCACGCCCCGCTCGCCCTCGCTGCGCCCCATCCGCTCAGCGCCCAGCTCACACCCGCCGGAGAGCTCACCCTTCTAGGACTATTTCCTTCTGGCTACGCCCGCCCCGAGCGCTACGGGTGGGCGGACTCGCGGGCGGAGGGGGGCATTGAGTTTGGGACCTCACCAGCAGCAGAGGAATACGCACGCGACGGTTTTTGGAGATCTCCTTCGGGTTTGCGTTGGGTGACTTCTGTCGAAGGTTCTTATTTGTCTTGTACTCTCAGCATTGCAGGAATCGGAACAAGTTTCAAATATACCATACTTCCCTCGGAAATTATCAGTGGTCGAAAAGAAACTTTTCAGCTGTCCTTGCTGATCCTTTTTAAAATTGTCGCCCCGGCCGTCGTCACTTTCAACACTTGGGGAGCTTCTTCAATGCATACTTCTTAAACTTTTACAACAGATATAACACCCCTCTTCTAGCAATTCATCAGCAGCAGAGTGGTGCTTACAGGGTGCGTATGTAGAGCCACAGAGGGTCGAGACTCGAATGAGAAGTTGAACTGAGGTCACGTGCAGATCGTTCAAAATCGTGTTTTCGACTTTTCCATGATGAGGTGGAACGCGGGAGGATCTTTGGGAATGTGAGTACGTATTTCAGACCTGGAATTAATTAATTTGCAAGCTTCGCATTTTAGCAAGTAAAAAGTGTAGGTATAAAATAATGATGGTGAGGTGCGCAAAGTATATCTCATCTCTCGCACTCCCACTCGGCTAGATCGAGTGGGTGGAAACTGAGCGACAAAAAACAGTGAATTTCTCGGGAGTCTTCGGTTTCAGCCCAAGTCGGGTCCACGGTGCTTTTATCGTTGTCCTGACTGCAATTGCGATCAAATGGTTGAGCAGACCGAGTTTTTTGCCAGGTGCCTAGTATCCTCATCTAAATTCATCATCTTATAAACCTCTCATCTAAAGAAGGTTCGACTTGTGCATTGAACAGCCGAGTGACAGGGCTCAAGGGCGGCGTTGTTAAGAGAAATTATCGACGGCAAGTCGCGACGTCGTCTTTAGGATAACTTTGATGGTCTCTCCATTCCTGCCCCGGATTACGGTGGACCGAGGAGTTTGCATTATCCGTCTCCTCCGAAACCAATTCCATGTACAAGACGGCAATACAACAAGAGTACGTGAAAGCTTTAAAGATCTGGTCAATATATATTAATTGAACGTCCCGATTTTCGATGCCATCTGTCCGTAGGTCCATGTACTTGATGGGTTCCGCAGTAATTATTCTTGCATTACCAAGTCACCGCCACATTCCTACGAGGTTCAACGCTTGGCTAGCTGCTGCCGCTCGAGCTGCACCTCGGCTGCTACTGTAGCCTCTGCCATACTCATATTGGTTCACTACGTGCGGAGGTCAGAGTTGTACCGATCTTCATATTATACGTAAACGACGGATGTCCATAGCTGATTATTCGGTGGCCCGGAGTTGCTGTCCAAATATTGGATGGTAAAACCTCGCATAGCGGTCGAACGCGGACATTGCCCGTTAAACGCAGCGAAAGGAAGGCCCAAACTGTGAGACGGAAGAACCCGGAAGACCGTTACATCACGGTTACGCGTGTGACTTTATTGCAGCGGGACGAACCGGAATGCCAAGTTGAACCAACACTCTCTAAGCGGACGCGTCTCTCTGGCGAGAGGTGTATCGCCGTATTTATTCTTCAGACTGGATTTAGGATACTAATCATCAAGGGCGGTAAGAACTGAAAAAGATCTCATCTCCGAATAAATAAATAGTACATGTCTTTGTTCGCAGGCTTTCCGCCTAGTGAATCCGCTCAATTCGGTGGGGCAGGATTATATTAGCCGTAGGCACGGTGGGTCAAACGCTTGATTGGTTAGTTGCGGACGGACGGTACGCGAGCTTACAGCTTGTGACAGGTTCGAAATTGTCATTACATTTTGTGAATGCATTGGGAGAACACGAGGAAGCAGGAGATACAAACTTTTCTAGAGTGATTCAAAGAAGATATTGGGGCGAAGCGGTGATGAGAAATTTTACCCGAGAGTCCGGGTCCGTGGATTCGCGAGGCTGGAAGCAAATACCTGGAAATATATCC